CCAGCGTATCCTGGTTTTCAAGTACCCCAGCGGGGATAGGGTTAATGATTAATCTAATTCTTTGATATTCTGCGTGGTGGTCATACTCTGCTGGGATAACTTAAATTGAGGGATCAAGCACTGATCCTTCAGTTTAAAAATACCCACATTGGATTGTTTAAGATTAACTATACTCCAAACACAAGGTCCTACCTCAGATCAAAGTAGATTGGATCAAATAAGATCAGATCGTAATGGGATAAGATCAGAGATCTACACTCCTGTTCTGACTTCAGATTGGTTTGCTCTTGTCAATTTTCGTGCCAAAGTTGTATATTTCCATCATTATGGAATATACCTTTATGAATTTTCAAAGGAAAGTTTGATAATCAATATTCCAATAAATATAAAATGTTTTGTTTGTAAAGTCCAAATGTGGCTGGATTAAGTCCAAGTGTGGCTGGATTAAGTCCAAGTGTGGCTGGATTAAGTCAGGCTGGATCTGTGTTCACTTCAGGAGAAACCTTTATGCAAGGTACATTTCAGTTTAATGGCAAAATTTAAAATTCTCTTTCAGGCCTCTTTTCTCAATTTACTTTAACCACTCCTAGCCCAGATGTTGCTAAAGAAAGTTGTAAAAAAAAACGTGATTTTTCACCGTTTTCTAAATATTTGACAATCAAAAATAAAAATATTCAGAAACATCCTGCCAGATATCGTCAATACCAAGTTAAATGATTTCCAAAATGTTATCACATTTTAAAATCCCTAAATATTTACAGAAATAACCCAATTTAGCCGAGAATGGTTGTAAGGGCCAACATTGGCGGGAAAAAACGGTGAAATGGCCAAATTAGAAGAATAATTTTAAGATGCTAAAATTTTTAATTTGAGCTTGTTTTACCCTAATGCTTCCCAAAAAATGGGTCACACTGCGCACATCCGGGAATTTTTTTCAGGGGCACCATAACCGTGCCCTCCCCTAAGAATAAGAATTGTTTTGTTTGTAATCCAGGCTATGATGATACTAAGGTTGAAAACATCTTCAAGGAAGCACTTAATCAGAAAATGGGTTCCACTGCTGAATTCATCTTCAGGTTGTCTTTGCTTATATCCAATTATTTGTTATTTATTATCCAATAGAGTAAACTCGCAATTTTTTTAAATTTTATGCTTAGTTTTGTTTTATCACCCAATTAACTTTCATAATGGAATTGAGTTTTTGTCACAAACTCTAATTTTCTAATCTTTTTACCTCAATGTCGTAGACCTTTAATATTTCAAACTATGAATAGGTTTAGATCAAATATTCTATGCTTGAAATATCAATGGTTTATACTAGCCGGTTACAGAGTTAGAAAATTGGAGTTTGTGGCAAAGACTCAATTCTTCTGTTTTAGTTTGTTATCTTATAGAGAAAACTCTCAAATTTTTTAATTTTATCTCTCAATTAACTTTCATCTTTATAACCAGTTTTCATCAAACATAAATTTAATAAATTTCTTTATTTGTTCTAGATAGTTTATTTTTTGAATTTTATGTAAATATAAAATAGTATTTTTTTTTCTCATACTCTTGCTAAAGGCTTTTTTAATGTGTTAGATCTAATTTTTTGGTTTCTATTTTCAGTTTGGGTGAAGAGTTGTTTAATCATTGCGGATATGGCCCAAGCCCTATCAGGTAAATGCTTAGTTTTACCACCTACCGACCAACATTACCGACCAATATTACCGACCAACATTACCGACCAATATTACCGACCAATATTACCGACCAATATTACCAACCAACATTACCGACCAACATTACCGACCAACATTACCGACCAACATGAGCGACAAACAAACATTACCGACCAACATTACCGACCAACTTTACCGACCAACGTTACCAATCAACATTACCGACCCCAACAGAGGGAATTTAAGTTATTACAACGACATTCTCAAATGTCTTAAGTCTGCATGAAAAAAGTTAATTTTAATTTCAAAAGATGATAAAATTGGGTATAATTACTTTTTTAGAAAAGTATAAATTTTACCGCACCAAGGGTTCTCTTGCTGGGCTCTTAACTTTCATTAAAGTAATTTTTATTAAGTTTGCCTGTGAGAAATGGTCGAGTGATGATGCAAGATCTGACAGAAATGGATTTGAAGTAAGCAGATTTATAAATCTTAATTTGTCTTATTCATGTTATATTTTTATTTAGAGGGTTTTGGAGTGTTTTTCTGGACCCAAGTTTATCAAGTAGGATTGCTAAGGGACTCGAGGAAACTGGATTTAACTGTTTAAACAAAGACAGCCCAGAGGAGTACACCAAGGTTCGAGTGTTGGTTCTGTCAGAGAACGTAAAAAAATAGTAAGCTTTTAAGTTTTTAAGAGTGGTAGATATTTATTTTCATAAATGGCTTTTTAGGTTTAAATTAACAAATTTTAAAGTAAAAAGTTATAAAAAGGGTAAAAAAAACTTGCCCTTAGTTGACTAAATTTTGTTCCCAAGAGCATTAATTTCGGGGGGGGGGGGAAGGGGGAACTTTTAAAAATATTTAGAAAAATATTTTTTTACTTTTTTAAACTCTAATTGAAGTAATTAACATCATACTATTAAACATACATACTTCATCAAGAAATCAAGAAAAAATTCAGTTAAAATTCTCTACTGTTTTAGTGTTGTTCTTGCCCTGGATAAAGATTTGAACTCGCTGGCTCCAGAAGCAGATTCTAGGCTATCTGATGATAAAGAGAATGCCATAAAACAAATACTATCGGCAAAGGTAATTTTTACATAATGAACTTTTTTCTTAATTAAATCCTTAAGAAATTGTACAGAATTGATGTTTAACTTTTACACTTGAATCTCCATTTAATTTAATAAATCACTATTCCTTGATATACTTCAACAACAGGAAACTTGCCATAATTATTACAGATAAGTACTAAAGTTCTTTTACCAAACTTGATCCACTTGGTAATTAGATTGTGGAAGTTAAAACTCAATCCGAGGCCAAATTTAAAGAATTTGAGCCGCGGCTCAAACATGGTTGGTCCCACTTAAATTTTATTCCATTTTTCAAGATTTAAGCTGGCGCTCAATTGAAACCTGTTTTTGGGGGATTTGAGACGCGGCTTAAATTCATTAAATTCGGACACAGATGATCTTATTTGGTATCATTAACTTTTCTTTGTGCTTTAGACTTTGAACGATGTGCTTCCTGCTGGTTCAAGTTTGAAGATGTCCTTTAAAAAGATGTCGTTAAAGGTTCATCCGGACAAGAACTCCCATCCTGGAGCCAAAGATGCATTCAAGAAACTGAATGATGCTTTTGAAAGGTATTTGTCACTTTTTATAAAACATTTTCCTGAATGAAAAATTCACAATTTGCATCACTTGAAATTTACACTGAACTGTTTTCCAAAGCACCTTACCTGTCCTTACAGAACAGCATTACTCAGAATTTATATTTTGACCTGAAAAATATAACGAAGATGGATCCAGTGTCCGAATTTGATGAAGTTTAGTCGCGGCTCAAATCTGCCAAAAAACGGTTTCAATTGAGTCAAGCGCCGGCTTAAATCTTTAAAAAGGATAATACAATTTTAATTGGAACCAACCATATTTGAGCCGCGGCTTAAATTTGAGCCGCGGCTCAAATTCTTTAAATTCGGCCTTAGGTCCAAAACCTGCAATACAAATCTTTTTGCTCTCAAAACATAAATCTCAACTGTCAACTTGTGAGAGCATAAAAATTATCAAACTGTTAAAAAAATCAGTAAACCTTGAAGATATTTTTACCGTTCACAAGCTGAATCCAAATCCATTTTTTCAAGATGGATTTGGATACGCATCAAAATCTTCAGTTTATGTTAAAGGGAGTGACCGGCAATGTATGGTAGTTGAACTGAGAATTTAGTATTGTGGAGAAATTTTTTATGATTCCTTTGAGACGTATAAAACGTTTTAATGATGTAAAACTACTGAGTTTGAGCACAAAGTCTACTTTCAAAATCATCCATTTTGGTGGTTACGTTTTGAGACTCGATTTTTCTAAATTAATAAATAACGACCAAAAATTTAACAAAAAAAAAATACAGTAAACCAATCAATTGTTAAGGAACAGGTTGAGAAAATTAAAATTGACTCTTATCATTGGAAATAAGTAATCTTATTCAGTTATTGGTTTCTGTAATTTCTCATTGTTCACAAACATTTTCTGTAGATTTTCTGGAAATATTATTGAAAAGACGACATTTGAAGAATGTGTAGAAAACTGCTAACAAATTCGTAAAGAATGAGAAATTCAACATAATGATGAAAAGAAATAATTAATTCTAAAATTGATTTATTGACAATTTTCTATTGGAAAACATGCTCCTAAACATCTAATTAATTTACTGTAGAGCTTTTGATACATTTTTGTTGTTGTTTTTAAATGATTTCAAAAAAATAAATTCTCAAACGTAACTACCCAAATGGATGATTTTGAAGGTCGACTTTGCACTCCAACTCAATAATTATACATCATTAAAACGTTTTATATGTCTCCAATGAATCCGGAAAAATTTCTCCAAAATACTACATTCTCAGTTTAACTACCATACATTACCAGTCACTCCTTTTAAACAGGTTTGGGTTAAGACATGTGCGGCTGCTAGCTAGGTCTTTTTTATAAACGCCTTTTTGAGAATTTGGACATTCTTACTTGGTTATATAATTTTATAATTGAAAATTGCCATTTAAAGATAAAAACCACAGAATACAAAGTAGTAAGAAGGAATTAAATTCTCTTATATCTTCTCTCTATTTTTTGTCTCTGTGGAAAATATCTTTTGTAAAGTACACAACATTTTATCAAGGCTCTCCACTGGCAGCCGAGGTTCTGAGCCAGCGTTAGAGATCACTTCTACCCCCTCAAGGTTGACTGGAAAACCTCCAATGGTTATATCGGCCACTTATAATTTGTAAGTAGATTTTTTATAAGATTTTGAAATTTTTCTATCTTCATAAAAATATATCACATGCAGAATTTGTGAATATAGTCAATCTTTTTTATGATCAGTACGAAGGTGAGCACTGTTACCATGGTAACAGAGAAGGAGCTGGATATTAGGGCATATCTCAATTCATTTGACACGGAAGAGGTAAATTTACCAATATAATTGGATGAAGTTGTTTCAATGAAGGAGTAGAGAGAGGCTGAATTTAATGAATTTGAACCACATTTAGAGGTGGTTAAAACATGAGACACGATTCAAACATAGTTGGTTAAGCTGGAAATTCTAATTAGTGTTTCAAGATTTGAGCCGAGGCTTATTGGAATGGAACCAGTTATTGACGGTTAAGTTACGGGGTTCAAATTCTTTAAAATCGGCCTTTATGGATTTGACTAATGCACTGCTGGGTCCCAGATTAATAAAGATAAGGAGACCTGAGGCTGAATTCAAAGAATTCGAACTGCGTCTCAAATTTGAGATGCGGCTTAAACATGGTTTGTTCCACTTAAAATTGTATTCAGTGTTTCGAAATTTGAGCCAGCGCTCAATTGGAACCTGTAATTGGCGGTGCAGCAATGCGGTTTAAGCTCGATTACATTTCCACTCCATGGACTGAATTGAAAGAAGTCGTTGAACTACGACCAGGCGGTTCAATTATGCATCTTTTTCTTGAATTTTGAATTAGTGATTCAGGATCCTGTATACAAATAGAGAACAGTGGAACCGATTGTGTTTATTTCAGTGACTTCTCTCTAATTCATTCAATCTGGTCTCATGTCTATTCACTCAATGAGTGTTTTCAATTCTTGAGAAGTTGAAAAATCTACACAACAATATATCTACTTTATTATTGAATTTATTAATATTATAAACCTAAACATACTATTTTGTGGAATATCCTTAAAAAATACTGATAACAAAAAGAAAAAGAAAATAGATACATTTGCTTGCAGGTCCCTGGTCCAAAATTAAGACAAAGATTATAATTATTTTACACCTTGAAAGGAATTGAGTTTTTGTCACAAACTCTAATTTTCTTATCCTTATATCTTTGCATTTCAATGTCGGAGACCTTAGATATTTCAAACTATGACTCAGGTTAGATCAAATAATGATAGTTTGCAATATCAAAGGCTTACACCATCAGATTGCAAAGATAAAGCGATTGTAAAATCAGAATTTGTGGCAAAAACTCGGTTCCCTTGAAGGATTTGCATGACTTTTAGGATGAACTGTCTGAGAGGATTAAGAATGTTCTCAACAACTACTGGGAGAATATGGATTCAAAGGGTTGGATAGCAGATCCAGATGGGAGAACAGGTTAATTTAGATATTGAGGGTGGGATAGCAGATCCAGATAGCAAAACAGGTTAATTTAGATATTGAGGGTGGGATAGGAGATCCAGATAGCAGAACAGGTTAATTTAGATATTGAGGGTGGGATAGCAGATCCAGATAGCAAAACAGGTTAATTTAGATATTGAGGGTTGGATAGGAGATCCAGATAGCAGAACAGGTTAATTTAGATATGGAGGGTGGGATAGCAGATCCAGATAGCAAAACAGGTTAATTTAGATATTGAGGGTGGGATAGGAGATCCAGATAGCAGAACAGGTTAATTTACATATTTAGGGTGGGATAGCAGACCCAGGTAGCAGAACAGATTATTTTAGATATTTAGGGTGGGATAGCAGACCCAAGGAGCAGAACAGGTTAATTTAGATATTGAGGGTGGGATAGGAGATCCAGATAGCAGAACAGATTAATTTAGATATTGAGGGTGGGATAGCAAATCCAGATAGCAGAACAGGTTAATTTAGATATTGAGGGTGGGATAGCAGAACAGATTATTTTAGATATTTAGGGTGGGAAAGCAGATCCAGATAGCAGAACAGGTTAATTTAGATATTGAGGGTGGGATAGCAGATCCAGATAGCAGAACAGGTTAATTTAGATATTGAGGGTGGGATAGCAGATCCAGATGAGGAGAACAGATTATTAGTTTATATATTAAGGGTGGGATAGCACATTCAGATTAATTACCTATTTAATTGGCATAAGTTATCTAGTTTTGATTACAGTACGGTTATTGGTTCAATTAAGTTTATTTTAACTAGACCATGCAATTGGGTTAATTTTCGGTCAAATCCTTTCTACAGATACAAATCATGCATACAATTTAATTGTAGTAATCTATAAGATAATATTGTATTTACACTGTACTTCGAGGCCGGCCCCTTGGTTAGAATTAGTATTTCCCAGTATACCACTCAAATATTAATTGGTCGCGGGAACTTGTAGTGAAGTGCAATATTTAATTTCCTGATACAGTACAGTAGTAGGCGATAATATCAATATAATAAAGACGACTTTTTATTAATTTTTTATTGATAATAAGCTTTTTTCGAAGTACAAGTTTACAAGTAATTAAAGAGAAGTTTTTTAAATAACAGCTTCTCTTTGTTTCAAATTATTTGTGTATCCATGCTGTCTTAAAGCTTGATAAATATTAAAATTGAAACAGAAAGTCGTCTTCATTGTATTGGTATTATCACCTACCCCTGTAGTTGTACACAATTTTATCGTCTTCAGAGATGAAACTGCCCAAATATTTTCCCGAAAACTTAACAGAGCAGGTGGTTATTTTACTTATTCGTCCCATGGGACGTAAAGTAACCTTATGTCCCTGTTTTGGGGGAATCATAGTTACTCTACGTTAATTTCTTTAATTTAATATTTCTTTCTTGAAGTTTTGAAAGTCGAGCTGGTCAAACAGATACAGGACAGAATCTACTATGCAAAGGAGGTCATCTTTCAGGGGAAACCAGAAATACTAGAGGTAAAAAAGCTTTTTTTTAAAATAAAGAAACGAAAGTAGAAAAAAATTCTCGAACTTTGATGCATTTTCGACAAAATTTTCGCAAAATGTTCGTTTGGTAAAATTCGAATATTTTTATGTTTCGCATGAAAAAGAATATCGAATTTCTGACCTTGAGTGTCTGAAAACTAGATATTTCTAGAAAATACTAGAAAATAAGCTATACCCATAAAACGTTTTGTGACTTCTGAAAAATAAATATCTGTAACGATCTAGGTCCCGATCAATCTCCCTATACTTGACTCTAACTCGAATAATCAGTCTTCAAGACTCTATCTCTCTAGCCAAAACCCTGTCTCTCTACGTCCGTTATAAACGACTGTTGATACTATACTAATTTATTGATACAGGTGAATATAGATTGACCGGGCTGGCCGGTCAGGGTCAGATATAACATAGATAATAACGATAGTAAACTAGATAAACAACACATGCGATAAGGATAGTAAAATAAGCTTCATCTCCTGAATTTATTACATATCTGTTTGGTTGCAAAGATTTGTTGTATTCTTGCAATAATCACAGATTTAAGCATTAACTATATTAAAACGTGGTTCACTTTTCCTGGAGTTGTGTCTGCTTATCGGAGAATGTTGGGTTTGGCTCCGGGGGTATGATTTGCAGTCGACATTACACGGAGTTAGTTTTAAGGGTTTATGGTCGTCTACAAATATGCTAGTTATGTTTCAACAAGAAAATATTGTATACTAGGTATGTTTCTACAAGATAATATTGTATGCTAGGTATGTTTCTGAAAGATAGTATTGTATTCTAGGTATGTTTCAAAAAGATAATATGATATGCTAGGTATGTTTCTACAAGATAATATTGTATGCTAGGTATGTTTCTACAAGATAATATTGTATGCTAGGCATGTTTCAACAGGTTGATCTAATATGCTAGGTATGTTTCTACAAGAAAAGATAATATGTCAGGTATGTTTCTACAAGATAATGTTGTATGCTAAGTATGTTTCTACAAGATAATATAGTATGCTGGTATGTTTCTATACAAGATAATATAAATAAACTAGGTATGTTTCTACAAGATTTTTTAATATGCTAGGTATGTTTCTACAAGAAAATATAATATGCTAGGTATGTTTCTACAAGATAATATAATGTGCTAGGTATGCTTCTATAAGAATTTATAATATATTAGGTATGTTCCTACAAAATAATATAATATGCTAAGTATGTTTCTACAAGATAATTTTGTATGCTAAGTATGTTTCTACAAGATAATTTTGTATGCTAGGTAGTTTTCTACAAGATGAGGATAAAACTGTATGGGGATGACTGGAGTGAACGTCAAGGTATCAAATATGCTTTTTTCAGGATTAACGTGTCCTACATAATTGTTTCTAATAACTTATAAATCATCTTCTCTATCAATATTCCAGCAAATCATTATTTGTTTTTAACTATGATTAGGGTTTCCATCAAAACGTTTCTTGAAAAAATGCGAAAAATTTCGTTCATATTTCGCAAACTTTTTCGCGAAAATGAATTAAGCTAATAATGCAAAAACAATGCAAAATTTCACGAGAAAAAATGCCCATTTCGCAAAATTATTTTTGCGAAAACAATTGGTGTTGAAGCTGTAGTCTTTTTTGATAATTTTCGCTAACATTTTTCTTTTTTTTAAATTCCGAATTTTTTTCGTGAAATTTTCGTATTATTTTTCGTGAAATTTTCACATTTTTTATTTCGCGAAACGATTTTTCTTTTTTGCTGGAAATTTCTTTCATCAATGTTTTTTAGTTTTTATTTTAGGTAATAATTATAAGTTATTTAATATATTATGTTCACCTTTTTGGGCGCTGCCTCTTTTTTTCTAATAACATCTGCAACTGTCATTTGGTTGAGAAAAAAATTGTGGAGCCTTTTAAAAACCAACAAAAATGTCAACATTTGTTATGGGCCGAATCTTTCAAATTGGTCATACTTTGACCTTTTTTTGGGTCATGTGGGTTGCCACAAAAAAATGACGTTTATTAGAAACAAAAAAAACAGAAACAAATATTGACTAGACATTTCTTATACCAATAATACCAATTTTAGCTTCTGTTTGTGATCGGTTTAGCTGCGTTTTTACGTTTATTGGATATAAACAAACAGACAGACAACCAGATAGAAAATCTGTATATCTACATATATAATAAAACAAGACATTTGTATATAAGTTCTCTATAGCCAGCCAAACGGATGAACCGATTGGGCTGAATTTTTTTTGTGGACACTCATGAGTGCGCCAGGGGGTACAATTCGAAATTCTTTTTTTCCATTTAAAAAAAAAATTTCCCCTTTAACCAGTAAAATGTACATTAAAAATAATCATTTATAGAGTATATTTTAGAGATTGATATCAATTTTGGGGATTCCTCTTCATCCTTTACAGGTGAGAGGATTATCATTATTATTATTGTTACTTCACGTGGAGTTAACAGTTCTGTCAATATTTCAGAAAGCTGTGACTTTCGATCACAATTTGACCCCTTAAACATAATTTTATAGCCTTTTTTCTTAAATAATTTTTTGTTGGCATGTTCATTTTAAATTAATAAATATAAAAAAATCTGTAAGTTTAAAGATTGTTGAATAATAGACGAAAACACGTTTGATTTCATATAAAAGAAACCAAATGCTTCTCTCTCTGGTTATTATGATTATTATAGACTTGAAAAGAATTCAGTATTAAAAAGCCAAGATTGAGTGGAATAACAAAACATGGTTGTACACACACATATGTACATTATAACTATACAAACAAATAGTGTTGGATCAAGTTGATTTAATTAAACATGACAATTTCCTAAGGGCGAATATATGACTGCTCTCTTCAGATACTTCATCCTAACTGCCATCCTCAGGGGGGTATAAGATGACTGATAACATTGCTTTCTCCGCCGATAATTAATGTCTCTTTCTCCGGCATCATATTAAACTCCCCTATTTCTCCAGATAAGGACTGGTTCGATGCTCTCTGAAGTTTATTGTCAGGCTGTCCATACTCCGGGTTCAGTATACCCTGAGATTCACTTGGCCTTATGTTTTCTACACTAGATTGTATTTAACATGCATCATTTCCCCGCTTCTTGGGGGCAATGAACTTAATCAGTTCTATGTACATATGATGATTATTATTATTATGATTATTATTATTATTATAATTATTATCATTATTTAATATTATTATCATCATCATCATCATCCAGTATCAATATCAGTATTAGTATTAGTATCAGTATCAGTATCAGTATCAGTATCAGTATCAGTATCAGTATCATTATCATCATTATCATCATTATCATCATTATCATCATTATCATCATTATCATCATTATCATCATTATCATCATTATCATCATTATCATCANATCATTATTATCATTATCGTTATCGTCGTCGTCGTCGTCGTCGTCGTTACCGTTACTGTATTTTTATTATTGACTATTGACTGACTATTTTTGTATAATTTAGGACATGAGTTGGCTGAGAGATTCCAGTTCGTTAAGAATTGGTGGGAAAACTTTAATTATTAATTGATTTGAAGTCCGTGATATGAATATATTTAATTGATCATAATGATTGATCATAATGATTGGTCATAATGACCAATCAGCCTACATTCTGAAAATTCATTAATGTTCATTCTGAAAATTCTATGATTGATTTAAGGAAAAAGTAAATATATGTAAGCAGAAGAAATTGAAAGAGAAAAATGCAAAAATCTTGAAAAAAAACCTCAAATATTTTTGCTTCTTCTTGAATGCTGATTGTCCCTTGCATTCGGAAATAATATAAAGAATTGTGAAACCTGTCTTACAAAGGTTTTTTCTGAAGTTTTGAAAATTTATTTGTTTATATGTTTGGAAAAGTTATATTTTGATATTTTTGGAAATAGATAGATTCAGGGTAGTGATGTGACAAATAGATAGATTCAGGGTAGTGATGTGAGAAATAGATAGATTTAGGGTAGTGATGTGACAAATAGATAGATTCAGTGTAGTGATGTGACAAATAAATAGATTCAGGGTAGTGAATCCAACCAATATTTGTTGCCGTCAGTTTGACTGGAGTTTCCACCGGAATTTCGGGTTATGACTCTCGATCTATCTTAATTCTAGTTTGAAATATCTAATGTCAGTGACATTGTGTTGCAAAGATAAGGGAATTTTAAATCAGAGTTTGCGGCAAAGACTCAATTCCTTTACGGCCGAATTATTTTTCTTGATGAATCAACTTTTTAGTTGTTCAATTTCTTGATGGATGTCCAACGAAAAAAGATATATATTTCGCACATTTTCTAGCAAACATAAATACTATAAAAACTGACCCCAAACTTAGCCCTAATTTTTTGCCCCCCCCCCTGTAGTTTTTTTTTATATAACTGAAAACTCAAAAAGTATTGGTAAAAGGCTGTTGAAATTTTCTGACTTTTCCTAAATACCCTTAGACTCCTTTTAGGTATAAAACCGAGCCAAGGCACACTGCCTGAATGACCACTTTTTCCTGTAACAAACTAAATCATTGTTTTGACGCACTTTAAGTCAGATTTTGACAATTTTTAAAATTAAAATATTGGAAAGCTTATGACTTAAGGAAATGCATTGTACAAGTTTTGCAAAGAAATGTTGGCAAATATTTTTTGCATACAACGCGTCAAAAGAATTTGCTCATTATTAGTTTTTTCTTAATTACACATCAGGTTATGCACAATTTTGCAATTGTTTGCATATTTGAAATGGCATGGTCAAGGGCTTTTCAAAAATAACCATTTTATCATTTTTGGACATTTATTTTTTTTGCAAACATTTTTACTACATCACTGGATTTTGCCAAGAAAGTCAATTTTTGCAAATTTCCAAATTTTTTTTGCAGATTCTCAAAGTAGAGCATCTTAGGTTTCCATGATGATTTATCATTTGTCATATTTGAACATCAAACATGGGATTTAGAGGGGGGGGGGTCAAATTGCCCCCCCCTAGTGTATCCTGAATTTCAAGTACCCCAGCAGGGATAGGGTTAAATAAAAAAGTAATCCAATTGATTTTTAAATAGTTCCGATATTTTGAGTTCTTACAAGAGGCTGTCGTTGAAATTTCAAGAGTTCCTTTTTTAAAGAGGGATATGTTTGATTCCAAACGGCTACCTTTAAAATGTGGAAGTTAGCGTCGTTTTTCTAGCGCTAGAAAAGTTTAATTCTGACGATATTCATCTATTGTTTCTCCTGAAGATATCCGCAATTGTCACGTTGATAGTTGGTATTGAATTAACAGCTTTCCAAATTTAAAAAAACATGGATAATTCAATTATTCTAAATCATTCAAAGCTCATAATAGTACCCTTGTGAACTATACTGTAAATGTAAAGATTTAGAAATTGTTATGAACGATCAAGATCGATAAAACAATTTTGAGGGTTCATTTAAAAAAAACCTATTGCTTTTTATTTCTCTGAACAATCCAAGTCGATCGTCCATCCTTTGTTTATTTCCTGAACAACATCATCTTTCACGAACAATCAAGTTTATTCACAAAACCGATGCACATCTCTACTGTAAAAGGAGGATCACTTAAAAAACATCCAATTGAATTTTTAAAAACAAGGAAAATTGGTTAAAAAACAGAAAAAATGTTATTTGGACACATTTGGTTTTTTTGTATTTTAAAAAAAGTTTGTTGGAAAATATCATTTTTCATTTCTTTGAACGATCCAAGTTTGTAGTCCATCATTCGTTTTTTATTTGAACAACACCATTGTTCACAAAAATTTTGTTTGTTCGTAAAAATTTCTTTCGTTCACAAAAACAATGTCCATCTCATTGGGTGAGGAGTTTCGGGAACGAGATTAGTGTCATAGATTAATTAACAATACAGATAGAACATTAGATGTAGTCTTTTCAAGATTAAAGGGTTTTCGTTTACAATTACCGTAAGGAGTTCCGAGACAGATAGAGAGCATGCGCGTAACTTCTTTGGGCTTCTGCCTCAAGGTTGTTGAACAAAAAACTCTAAATCTTAATAAGACGACATCAAGTGTTCTATCTGTATTGTTAATTAATCTATGGTCTCATCCTTCTTGGGAATAAAACATAGCTTATTATTTTGTACAATAAGGATAAATATGTAATTATATACTCTGTACCCTGTAGAGTGGAATTGAGACAATCCCTCGGTATGAATTTTGTCAGTCCCTTTCAGCCTATGTGAAATGATCCTTGGTCAATTATGAAACCAGCCTATTTCATAATTTGGTTTTCTTTTAATATTAATTTTAGATTTTTTATAAAATGATGTTCCAGGGCCCAAAAGGTTATATAGCGCAAATATGTGAAGTACGCCTGCAGTATGGAAACAGTACAATAAAATGGCCGTTTTACACTTTTTTCTAGTAAATTCTACTCTAATATATATTCTATTCTCTTTGGTTTAAAGATATTGTACATTTATTGACCCAGGTTCTTATCAATTAAGACAAACAAACGTCAGCTTTCAACTTTAAGTTTACAATAAAAATCCATATGACGAAAAAAGGAATGTGTTGTGTTGGGAGGGGGGGGGGCTGGAGAAAGTATGGAATAACAACAACGAGGTTATAGTGTATAAAGTGATGATGTACCCTAATCAACGAGGTTATAGTGTATAGAGTGATGATGTACGCTAATCCTTTACTAATTTTATAGGCCATAAACTATACCGAGAGCGTACTGCATATTTCGTTTATTTTAAGTTGATTCTGGCCAAAGAGAATAGAATATATATAAGAGTGGAATTTAGACAATACCTCGGTAGAATTTTGTCAGTCCCTTTCAGCCTGAAAGGGAGTTCAAAGTGTACAATTCATTTAAATTTTCACAAATTATATGCAGTAGAGTACATTAATACAGTATGTTCCCTTGACTATCCATTTCAATTTCGAATTTTTTAAAGTTGTCAAATTAACTTTATAAAATGAATTAGGTGAATATAAAACATCATTTGATTTATAGTTATAACGGAAAATCATCGTTTGTGAAGTGAAAGGCATTGAGTCAATGTGAAATGATCAGTGGTCAATTATGAAACCAGCCTAATTCATAATTTGGTTTTCTTTTAATATTAATTTTAGATTTTATTTTCAAAACATTAAGTTGAAGAAAACTTTTGAATTGAAGATTCTGATTTTCAAATAATTTTCCTATTTGAAAATTTGTCATTTTTAAACATTCAACTTTTAAATTTAAAAAATAATCACCAATTTTGTTTATGGAAATTGCTTTAAAGGGAGTGACCGGTTATGTAAGGTAGTTGAACTGAGTATGCAGTGTTGTGGAAAACTTCTTTCAGATTCATTTGAGACATATTAAACTTTTTAAAGATCTGTAAATCCTGAGTTTGAGCGCAAATTCGACGTTCAAAACTCCTACTTTAGGGGTGGATACGTTTTCAGAATTAGTTTTTTTAAAATTATTAAATAAGGACAACGAAAAATGACGTCTGTTTTTTACTGTAGAACTTTTTTACATTTTTTGTCGTTGTTATTTAATAATTTAAAAAACCAATTCTGAAAACGTATCATAAATGCATTTTGGCTCTATGCATATATGCCCATATCCTAAATTTTGGCTGATTTTTTAAAGTTTTTTCTCTCGTTTTTCGTTCATTGGATATATAGTCATCAAGTTCGCTATCTTAGCTATAAATATATAAGGCGACCAAGACACTTTGTAAATTTATAAATCCAAAATTTTCTTACAAGTTTTATCTGTCGTTCTTCTTTCATGGAATATCTAATCATCACGTTTGTTATGTTATCCGAAAATATATATAGGGCGAACAAGCCATGCTTTCTAATTTTATAAATTTATAAATTTCTGTTTGTTTAATAAAGTTTTTGAGAAGAAGAATATTAGTAAACAAGTGTAAGTGTACAGTACAGCTAACTGAGCACAAAGGTAGAGAACTATCATCCCTTGAATATCAAGCTTTAATACGGATTTTCATTTTTTAAAAGGTTTTACTTTAATAACAATTTTAATGCTTTTGGTCTTTCTTGGTTGAATTGTTGTATCTCCACCAATAATAAAGGATAAAAACCATTTTGAAAATTATTTAACTCTGGTTGAACAATATTCGACCAAAAGTTATGGAATTATTCGATATTATACTAAATTATATCCTATTCTATAAATATACTTTGCTTGTCTATCTGTTTGTTTGTTTGTGTCCAATAAACAATAGCTGAACTGATCGGGCCCAAAGGAATTGAGTCTTTGCCTCAAACTCGAGATTTTCTTATCACTTTATCTTTGGAACCAAATGTTGCATACCTTAGATATTTCAAACTATGAATTCTGTTAGATCAAGTAATCTGAGTTTGAAATATCAAAAGTTAACAACATCGAGTTCTAAAGATATTGTGGTTTAAATACTTGATCTTGTTCCAAAGACTCAAAGGGAAGGTTTTCGATGATCAAAATTTCAAAAATTAGCCTCCAACAAAATTCGATTTTCATTAAATTTTGAAAATCCCAAATTTTTTTTATGAAATCCGCGAACTTTTTTTTTACAATGTATACAAAGAGAAAATGTTCACAATTGAACTAGAAGATGGGAGCGAAGCGCCCTGAAAGCCTTGTTATACTAAAAGGTCTAGGGTTAGTACAGGGTTACCCTCAAAGGATGAGATATCAGAGACCACTTTCCTTAGATTCATGATTCCTAGCAACAGTAAACTTATTTCTTTCTATTTCAAATACTTAAACAAGCCATAAAACAGACAAAAGGCAATTAATTCAATCTTGGAATCATCATGTTGAAGGAGTTTCAGCTCATGTTTACAGTCTCGTCCTTTGTGGGTAACCCTTGTATTTGTTCCAATGCGCCCCCCTCCATCCGTCCCTGCAGCCAAGTATTAAAAACACTGAAAAAATAAAAACAGTGAGACAAATATTTTTTATAATAATAATATAACTATAAATCAAATGATGTTTTTTATTCACCCAATTCATTTTATAAAATTTATTTGACAGCTTTAACCCTATCTCTGCTGGGGTACTTGAAAACCAGGATATGCTGGGTGGGGGTCAATTTGACCCCCCCTTCTAAATTCCACTCTAATATATATTCTATTCTCTTTGGTGGGAGCACATAACCGCCATGTTCTATGACAATGTTCTTTAGAAAAAAGTTCAAAATTTTCAAAATGGAAAAAATTCCTATTGTTTAGAGATTTTATTTTCCAGACCATTTTTTCTGTTCTGCAATGCAGTGGTAGGCGATTTTATCAATACAATGAAGACGACTTTCGATGTCAATTTTGATTTATAGAAAGCTGTTAAACAGCATGGATCCACATTAACATAGAAGTCAAGAGAAGCTGTCAATGAAAAAAATCTCTTTGATTACTTGTAAACTTGTAATTTGAAAAAAAAGCTTGTTAACAATCAAAACTTGAATAAAAAGTCGTCTTCATTGTATTGATATAATAGACTCCCACTGTATAAAACAATAACCTCTACGGAAGTAACATCCTGTAAATGATTATGTGTGTGGATGAGTGAGAAGGTGGATGTTACTGATTTCTTTAAAATGTAAATAATATTTTATGTTTTTCTAGAGTTCAAAGTCTATGTTTGCTTTCAAGCATTATCTCAGGTTTAAGCGGTATAAAAGATTGAATAAGTATATTAATTTATTTGTGCTTTATAGTGTTTAAAACTTTATATCTAAACTTAATATAAGGTAATATATTTAATGATTTATCTTTAACTTTTCAATGCAAATTATAGATGAAGACAAAGTTTATAAACAGAAAAGCCATTTGTAAACCATCTACTTAATTTTGTTAACTAGCAATTTTGTATCTTTAAGGTATGACTCCTTCGATTGTATCTGTTCTTTTTGCTGGATATCTGGCCTCCTGTAGCAAGGTAAATCTTAAGATTTTTTATATCAATTGTATAACAGTATTCTTTATCTATAGAAATTGTGAAAATGATTTTACTCAATAATTATTTTTACAGCCTTTCATATTGTTTTATTTGTAATCTAAAGTTAGGTTTTTTATTGTAATTGTATTTATATTAATATGTATTCTAGGGATCTGTTTTTGCAGAAATAGCTGCTGTACTTCTAGGAGGTGGCTATGGTAAGTTTTTGACAGAAGCATCAATAATTAATATTCAAAGCCATTAAATTATATATATCTAGGTGGAAAAAGTGAATCTTATCCCTGTGATGTGGCAATAGGAGATATCGGTATTGTATCAGGCCCAGGTAAAAGAACATATAACTATTAAGTCCGGTTCATTTCTAGACATCTAAAAACACGGGCAGCCGTAGTACATTTGACGAGCCGGATCAACCTTTCCGGTCCCAGTTTGTACTGCATCGTCCGGACATTGGGTAAATAAAGCTTTAGACTTTAGGTTGAATTTACTTTTACTGAAGGGTCAGAGGTACGTGACCAGCTAAAGCGTGCTGTACACTATACAGTACACTAAAATTTTACCAGGGAAAACAGGACTGTACACAAAATGAACCAGCCCCTTCTAGGAACCAGCCCCCTTTCTTGGAAATTCTTGTCATATCTTGAGTGCAAAATTCTAGCAAAGATTAAAATAAGCAAAAAATATTTAATAACACTTAACAAAACAGGAAGCCTTTATTAACCTGCTAAATAATCCTAGGTCACCAAACTATAGATGTGTATATTAAAAATATTGTAAATATTTTATTTCCTTTTATGATATTATCATAATATCTTCGATTCTCTAACTACTCCCATCTTTTCCAGTAACAAATTTAGCTTTTCACAGTTACTTTTCAAATCACTCTTATTCATCATTCTACAGAATGAACAAAAATGTTTGTGAATTTTCTGTTTAAATTGGTGCATTTTCAAAAATAATAAATATCATAATTTTTCCAGGCAAAACTTTGTAATTTTCCTGTTCAAAACCTTCCTGGGGTCATGTGACACTTCCATTTCAATAAAAGGGAATGATTCATTTGGTGTACTGCCAGCCTTGTTTTGCCTTATATAGTCTGTATGTGTACTGCACAACTTTTAGGATATGTTGAATGTTTATAAGATACAAACAAACAAACAGACAAACAAAATGTATAAACCATAGATATACTAAGATTTGAGCTATTCTGTATTGCTCTCTGAGCTGCCTGCTTTAATTGCTAAAAATGTTGACTTTTTTATTAAAACTTTTTATCTTTAATCATTCATAAACCCTCTCTGGGGTCAGGAGTTGCTGTCCAAATTTGGGTCTGGTCAGTTCAGCCATTTTGACCTTTTTTAGACACAAACAAACAAACTGACAAGCAATAATATTGATATATTGTAGGAGCTGCAGTTCTAAATGGACAAATTGTTTACTGTGGGGGATGGAAGAGTGGTATGCATCTTGGAAGTTTATACACACAGTTTAATTATATTACATTTATAGATATTTTACAGTTTAAACCGATCTATATCTTATACTATTATAAACTTGGTAAGAAACTCACGTATAAAGGACTCAATAAAGGAAACTTTACAAAGAGAAACTCAATATAACAAGCCAGGTTGAATCGATTAAAGCACTAACTTTGTACAGACATTTATTTTACATTATTATTAAAATACAAAACTGAGGATCAACCGAATTTAATCCTGGAATCATAGATGAAGATAATTCTCCTCCTGGAGCTACTGGAGATTTTATCGACCCTTCTCCTCTGATCCTTCATCAAGACTAACCCTCTTCGGGGGCACAAAATGGATGTTCAGTTTGCTTTCTCTGCCGACGAAAGCACCGTTATCCGTGCTCTCTAGATAAGGGTCACTAGGGTTCAAATCTCGGCTCTGTGGAGAATTCCTTCCCCCCGTTGGTAACAGATGCAAAGTAATGGGTTTAAATTATTGTTATTCGTTTCCAGCCCTCAACTGACGATAAGACTTGGCTTGGGTTGAATGAACTAGGATTCAGTAAACAATATCCTTGGTGGGTTTACACTATTTAAGAGTTCCCATTTAAAACAAATGAAAGAACTAACTTAACATCTCCAAAAGACGGTTAATATTATCAATTGGACAATTTTTAACATTTAGGTCTTATGTTTTAGAAATTTAGGTGTTAAGGAAGGAAGTTATAATATTACAATTGTGTATACCTTTATTAAAGGAAGGTTTGTTGGATCTATGGAAAAAGAGGTAGTGAAATGTAGGCAAAGAGTCTGATCAGTCCAGTTCAGGGATTTGAGATATTGAGAATAACTGTAAGGACTGTTGAGTGTGTTTGAGATTAGGCTGCTGTTTTCAGAGGACTGCATACTCCTCTAATCTGGCTTGGAGGAGGCTGATATAGATGGGCTACATTGGTATAAACCAGGTCTGAGGGTTCCTTTTTCTGTGAACCTGCTCTGAAAGCTGCTGATTTTGTGAATCCTACAAAGTAGACTCCATCATCAATGGAACCTTTTTCTAAGGAACCTACTCTTAGAGCTACTTTACCTGGGGGACCTATTATGTAGACTTCTCCACCTGAAGAACCTGTTTTTGGGGCTACTTTATTTATAACCTTCCAGGATAATCCGCATCAAGGGGTTCTTTTTTCTTCTTCTTATCATCAGGTTTATTTTTTGTGTTTTGAGTTTTTGGTTCTATAGTTTCATTCTCAGCTAGTTCTGGGGATTTCATCAACGAAGTATTTGTACACACTTACTATTTGTCATTAATGTTTATATCATGTTCATACTTTACTATTAAAATTAGATAGTGAGGGAGAGATGGAGTTGAACAATTGTAATGTAAATAAACTGTTTTAAACTTCTAAATATTGCATACCTTTATATGTAGAATATCTCAGGTAAAATATAATAAACTAGTAAAAACTAACAAATCATACAAATAACAAAATATAATTGAATTATTAACAAAAACCAAAATTCAGTAAGGGAGAGTTGAAATTAAATGCTTTTGTTTAGTAACTGCTTCAAGAATGAGGGTTTGGATTGGATAGAGTTTGAAAGTATGAATGTAGAAAGAGAATTCTTTACACTGACTACTCAAGGGGACAAATTACTTGCAACTGGAGGATATAATTCAAAGGGTATGTTTTACTTTATTTCAAAAACTTTACTTTTTTTATTAATTATCTAGATTTAAGTCAATGGAGCCTTTAACTTAAGTTATTATTATTAAACTATTTAAATAATATTCTCACAAACTGGAATACTAATATTTATAGACCTATGTTGCTTATGAAACCACATCCCTTCATCTTTTTATATTGTATACACTAAATTAGTATTTGTTTAATAGGAGAACTGTTTCTGTGGAGGTATTTGATGGAACCTCCTGGGAGATCCAAAGCTATAGATTGACATCTGACAGAGAAATGCACTGTGCTGTTCCTATCAGGTATACACTTTATTAGTAATAATCATGGCAAGTGCATATATAAAAAACTATTTTTTTTCCACAGGCATGTATCGAAAAAAAATTGAAAAAAAAATGTTGGCTTTTTTTAGCCTATAACACCCCCCGGCCACCCATGAGTGTCCACAAAAAATTTCAGCCCATTTGGTTTAGCTGCTTGGCTGGCTACAGGGAACATGTTTATAAATGTCTTGTTTTATTATTTAGAATCAGTTCAAATATGAGATGTGGTTCATTAACATTATTTGTTCCACTTGAAATTAAAATCAAAATATGAAATGCAGTTCAAACATGATTTGTCCACTTGAAATTAAAATCAGTGTTTTGAGATTCGAGCTGGCGCTCAATTGTAACCAGTTATTGCCAGTTGAGCGATGCAGTTCGAATTCTTTAAATTGGGCCTCTCTGGCAGCATATTTTTATATATTTTATATTCTAGTGAACTTGAGGTAATATTGATTGGAGGACAGGATGAAGACTTCCCCTCCCCATCTTCTTTAGTAGAAATCTACAGCATTGAAGAGGGTTTCATTTCAAAGCTCCCATCCATGCCAACGGCAAGGTAAACTATCTAAAGATATATGAAGACTGAAATATGATTTTTTTTCATGTTTTTTTCTAATATTTTTTGACACACTTACTTATAGGGTCTTCATAATGAACTGTGTACTTAACAAAGTATTTATTTGATTATTCACTTTAACCATTGCTTTCTGAGTGCAATTTAATATTTTTGATAATTACATTATAAATATAAAAATACAATAAAATGACATTTGAACTTTCTTTGTTAAGATTTGGACTGGGATGCAGCTTGTTTAAGGACGAAATATGGACAGCTGGAGGAAGCGCTGATGGTTTTGAAAAACTAGATGTTGTAGAAGTCCTGTCACTGGTTACAAACATCTGGAGGAGTGGCCCTACGCTAACCAGGGGGAGATACTTCCTCACAATGGAAGTGTTGGACAGCAGCTTGGTAGTCTTTGGAGGCTTGGGAGGTGAAGACAGCCTGGAGACGCTGAATGGAGAAGAATGGAGAGAAGAACCTCTTCAGTATCAACATGATGGACATGCCTCTGTATCAGTTCAATGTAATTGATTCAGAAGTATTTTCATTCTATTATACCTTATTTGATTATTTGGTATAAAATATTGTCTTTTCTAAAAATAAAATGGATTCAATACCTCTTGTTGGTAGTTTTGAATAAAATGAAAAAAGGAATAGAGTACGAAATGTTACATTTTAGATTTCACTCAAAAAAGACGTAAAAATGTAACATCTTTTCAAATCAAATCAACAGTTCTTATTTTGTTATTTGTTATTTATCTAAATTTACATGACAAATTGAATATGTACAAAAAAAGTGTTATTTTAGATGTTTACAAATTATTGCAAAAACAGAAAAAAAAAATGTTTTTTTACAAAGCTAATTTTGGGTTTGATAACGAATTTATTAGAACAATGATAAAAACACATTTACATCTTCAGAATTCCATGTTAGGAAATGATTAACAAGTTCTAATTTTCTAATTTTCTTTAAACCCAATGCCTATTCTAAAACATCAAAGATTTACACCATCAGGTTGCAAAGACAGGGATTAAACGATAAGAGTTTTAGGAATTCAGTTCCTTTTAAGATGGTGTGTTCTAAAATACAGGATCTCTATTTTCTAAGATTGATAATTTAATATAATATGTTAAAATAGATGTCAATAGTTTAACCCAATCATAGTGTTTCTATATATATATAAAGTAGTAATCTCTGTTTGTTTAAATGTCCAACCATGACTTATGAACCGATTTGCCTCAAATTTTGATTAAGGATCTTAGTAGAACCATATGAATGTTCTTATCCTGGTTAAGTGAGTTGACATTTATTGGAAAAACTGCAGAAAAATCTGGGTTCTCAAGTTATGTATATGTATATATATATATTTAAGGATTTAAATATTTGAATTAATAATATATATAGAAATGTCATATATATTTCACATGGTAAAAGAGTAAAAGTAAAATACCTTGATTGAAAGTTTAAAAAATCAACTTTAATTAAGTGTAACAGGTCTGACTCTGTGTACACTAAACAATTGCTGTGTTTCATTATTTATTTGACTATTTGAAATTATAACTTTTAGGTTGAAAATTTAGAAATGTAGATACATTTGGAAAATAATCGCGTTATGTTTTGTTCATCAATAGATTTTTATTAAACTTTAGAATGGAATAGAAAACAATGAAATTTATCCATTTAAAAAGAGCCATCTCGACCCTTTATACCTTTATCTGATTGATGATTTAAAAATACCAGCGTTTTACTAGCTTGCAAATGTAAGCTGGACATGCCGCTCTATAAATGGAAGGTCACTGTAAGGCTCGCCAATTGAGTTGAAAGTCTAAGGCTAAAAACTACTTTTAAAATTTTTTAAAAATAATAATAATTTTAATTAACTGCTTTAAATAGCTGCATTCTTCTACATCTTCTTTAATAAGGTTAACAAATACAAGAGCAGCATACAAGGTGAGTAAAAAAGAAAATTAATGACACTCAATTTTTTTTGCATGGTTCATGTTTTAGGATAAAAAATATAAAAGTAAAAATGCAATTATTTTGAAAATAAATCTTGTAATGCTTTCATTTAGAAACAATATTATTTTTAATGAAGTGTAACGTTAGAAACTTTAAGGCCTGAACATTTTAATACAAAGTAGCATATAGAAATGTTTTTTCATATCTTTCTTAGAAACAAATCGAATAAACAGTTTTGATTGTCAGTTGTAAAATAGTTTAACAAATAAAGGTTACCACAATAACATTTTGATAAATCGTAACATAAGAAAAGTTGCATTTTAGTAAAATTTCTAATCATAATTAAACGAGTTTATATTGGAAAATTTAAGATAAAACGTAACGTTAACAAAAAAAAGTTCTTTGCATTGAAATTCATTGCAACGTGCAGAAACGCCCCAATGATGTTTTATTTAAGCAAAACGTTTGTCACCTTTTACTTTTCAAACCAAGTGAAAGTGTAATGTAAGGTCTCTGAAAACATTTACCTTGCATGAAAGTGAAACGTTAAAAAAGTGTGATTATATTACGAAAGCAACGTTTGTAAAGTTTTTTTAAAACAGGGAATGCAAAAGCGTAACGGAGCTTACTTTTTTCAAGTGCAGACAATTCATTACGTAATCTTGGTCTATGCCATAAAATGTCATACTGTGCAATGTAACGTTTTAAATGTTTATACTTTTGATGAACGCTATCGTAGATTAGAAAAAAGCAAAACGTTGACATCTCCTAGGATCTCTGAAAACATTTACCTTGCATGAAAGTGAAACGTTAAAAAAGTGTGATTATATTACGAAAGCAACGTTTGGAAAGTCTTTTTAAAACAGGGAATGCAAAAGCGTAACGAAGCTTACTTTTTTCAAGTGCAAACAATTCATTACGTAATCTTGGTCTATGCCATAAAATGTCATACTGTGCAACGTAACGTTTTAAATGTATTTACTTTTGATGAACACTATCGTAGATTAGAAAAAAGCAAAACGTTGACATCTCCTAGGACGGGAGAGAGATGGGGGGATTACCCTAGGATTCAAGGGAGTGGGTGATACTAATTACACTGAGATTCCCAGGGGGGGGGGTAATTCCTTTATCTATGCAATTTGGAGGATTTTGAAAAAATTATTTCAAAATTATGTCTAAAGTCCCATAATATCCCTTTATCCAATTAACCCCCCCCCTCTCTCATTTTCTAAGCTATGCAATTATCCCCCACCCATTATTTTTCTTATTGCTCAATGCTTTAAAGCTAAAATATCAGAGTTTTTTTTAGAACAACAGAATGTTTTTAAACCTTGGAAACAATTTAACTGCCTTTAATATTTTCCAGTTGATTGAAGATTAAAACTGAAATAAGCAACATTAAATTTGAAAATACTTGAAAACAACCTCTTGCAGACCGAAACAACCTTTAGCAGACCAATGCTAGATTGAACCATAATTAAAATTACTAGCTTGGGTACTCGGCGTTGCCCGTGCCGTGTCCAACACTATAAATGTCTGCTGAGTTTAACGATAAACGGACTGTAACCGTAATTTGAAGTGACTTTCCATGCAAAGATAGCTACCCCCGTTTCCAACGGTATTTATAAGAAGCAAAAATAAACAATTGTTGAGTTAGTAAATTATCTGCCAAACTTTTCATTGGATTAAGGCTTTAAGGCTACTTTTGTAAATCGAGCATTGGTATTTTTGCATCATGAGAATATCTATCAATACTATTTTACTCATAGAAGGGATGCAATGTTTTTATTTCTGTTACATCACTTTAAGTGTTAGGTTTTGGATAAATCACATTTACATGTAAGTTTACATTGCTTTTATTTTCAACTAAATGTCTAAAATCTTTATCAAAAATAATTTTTTTAAATTTTGAGTTTTGATTGAATAGTTTTGTGTGTATCCAGTAACCACCTATGTCTAGATTTACAACAACAATTTAAAAAAGTGATTATTAATGTTTTTTTTGCTACCCAATGTCATAGAGATATGATATTTCAATGAATTATGTTAAAAAATTGAATTAATTAATTAATTAATTAATTAAGTTAATCAAATTTTAAAAACCTTTTATTCCAATTATTTTATATTTTTTAGATACACAAAAACATGAAAACTGGAATGAGCATTATATTCATACTTAATTTTCTGGTTTTTGGTAAGTCAGGTTGAAACAGTATATAAAGAAAAAGGTGTGTAATAAACTAAATAACAAACTATGTTCATATCTACAGTGATAGCTATAGAAAACAATGGAATAGGAAGACGACATCATAGCAACACTTAAGTGTATTTGATGTTATTACAAAGCAAATAGTTATATTAGACACTTATTAAATCTCTAACTTATCGAATTAGGTCTGTTTACACCACAGACTACACAGACTGCTTATCTCCTTTCACAGGGTGGGCTACGAAGGCCTAAGTTGACCCGACACGACATGCTACGTTTTTACGATAGGTTTTTAGACTGCCATCTCATGGCCACTTCTTGAACATAATACCCATTCAGGGGTTAAGTTTTACAACTTAAAAAAAAATACTCCAATTTTAAACATGCAACATAACATTCATGAATTCGGGTTTACTCACTTGATACTTGATTTTATCTGATAATCGATCTCTGTAATTCTCTTATCTCTGGTTTACACTGGAAAATTGCAGTTGAAGTCGTCTTTATCCAGAGCCCACGATTTAAAAGCTTCGGCTCGAGTCTTAATTCCTTAAACGCAGCTTTAAGACCCAATCTTAGTCCCAACTCTGACGACAGCTTGTGGAGCTTGTGTTACGTGATTGACAGCTGCGAGATCTTAGGCTCGACTTAAGGAGTTAAGCCCAATGAAAATAAAACCAACCTTGGTTGGTTTTAGTGAATAATAAGGCTCAATGTTGGGTCTTATTCTCATCAAAACCCGGAATGCACCAATTCCAACTATGAAAATCCGCCAAATACAACATTAAACCGGTTTTATGAACTAAATTCTGTTGAAAAACAGATGCAACTTAAATTCGAAAGCTCGAGCTGTAAATAAGGCTCAAAAACAGCTTAGACCCGAGTCGTATTTTCTTGAATTTTTTAAATCGCCGGCTCAGGTGTCTCTGCTCTCGATGTTTCTTCATGATACCACTTGGCAGAGACACCTATGCAGACAAAAAATCTTCGTTTTAAGTGCATTGTATATATAAAATACAAATACAAAATATTATGAAGTATCAACTATATACAAATGCGTTGAAAAATAATTGATGATTATAGGTTGTACTTGATATATCTGAATAATTTGTTTGAAATCAAATTGATTTTTTTACGCTTAGAGTTGAATATTACAACTTTCCGAATTTGTGTGAACGCTGCGATCTTCGCGCTCGGTATGAGTCGTTTTTAACAATTTTCTCCTTATAGACGCAACAGATAGAAGTAAGATCAGTAGCAATCACCATCGAACATGTTTTGACCTAAGCCTATATACCCTTTCATTTTTCGCGAACACTTTAAACTCAAGTTGCAATTTTACAAATCACAAAGTCCAATAAACATTAAACCAAGTAATTGTTTAGTGTTTACAAATCCGTTTCAATCAATGNAAAACCTTATGGCCCAACCTGTCGTCGTTGCCTTAGTCTGTTCCACTTTAGTATTTATTCACTTTGGTTTACAAATCAGTTTCAATTAATGATTGTTGAATTTTTAAGATACTCTGTTTAAACAATTTGCTTTATAACAACATCAAATTTACAAGAGATTGCTTAAAGGTCGTCTTTCCAAGGTTTTATGGGCTTTCCTTTAGTTTATCTGCATACAGCAGAAAATACATAATGTTTTCAAATATGACAATTTTCAACGAAATATCTGATTTTCAATTGATCATTATAAATATTCAAGATTCTTTATGGATTTGATAAATTTAAATTAAAGATCTGATTTTTAGTTGATCATGGAAATATATTTAGGATTCGTTTTGTGTTGATAAACTTCCCATTTCAATTTACAAGCAAAAATAAAAAACCAGGAAAATATTTTCAAGATTTAAGATAGAAAATTTTAATTTTTAAATTCCTTAAAGCTCAATTTTACAAAAGAAAAGAAAAAAGGTCGCAGGTAAAGCTAAAGGAAAGTAAACGTAATTTTAAGTGATACTCCATTGATAGAGTGACATGTTCAATTCACAACGGTTTCCTTCAACCTGGTCTGATCAAGTATAAATTAGATATTGACGTTTTTGTTTTTGTTAACTAATTATCTACGTTTACTGGAAAAACTACACTGTCTTTCACATGGTTGATAAGATTAAGGTTTCAAGGGTAACTCTGTGAATCTGCAGTATGCCCCATTTTTAATTTTTAATCATTTAAGATTACAATTTTAATAAAGATCAAATCAACTTATCAACTTTTTTACATGAAGATTTATTTATTATTAGAGATGGGAGCGTTTTGGTTTTTTCATTTTGTTTGTTCATCGTTAGTGAACGACCTACTTTTTTTCAATCGTTCAAAAAAACTAAGATCGTTCGAACAATTTCAAATGGCTTTTTTTGATCGTTTAAGAAAAAGGTCGTTTATTCACTTCTCTGAACGATCCAAGTCGTTCGTTCATTGTTTGTTTTTTACTAAATATTTTATTCAATCTCAAAATTTTTGTTTGTTCATAAAAAAGCGATGACCATCTCTAGCTTTAAATAGCAAAAATAGTGACCTGGAAGCTTAGAATTTCTAAATCCTAAATATTTTCAGTATTCCAGAAACCTAAATATATTCTCTACTATAATCAGGTAGGAGCATAATCTTAATGAAAGAGAAAAAATTAACAATGGTTGCCACTCAACCTTGTTTTCAATAATGATAATAATGTTTAAATAAATTTTTAAAAATCACTTACTGACCCGATTGAAAAACAAAAATTATCCTTTAAACATAATTTATTGTTTTAGATAGTAAAATTGACTCTTAGTATCAAAAATAGGTCATTTTATTCATTAATTTTTAATCATTTAAGATTACAATTTTAATAAAGATCAAATCAACTTATCAACTTTTGTACATGAAGATTTATTTATTATTAGAGATGGGAGTGTTTTGGTTTTTTCATTTTGTACGTTCATCTTTAGTGAACGACCTACTTTTTTTCAATCGTTCACAAAAACTAAGATCGTTCAAACAATTTCAAATGGCTTTTTTTGATCGTTTAAGAAAAAGGTCGTTTATTCATTTCTCTGAACGATCCAAGTCGTTTGTTCATCGTTCGTTTTTTACTAAATATATCATTCATTCTCAAAATTTTTGTTTGTGCATTAAAAAGCGATGACCATCTTTAGCTTTAAATAGCAAAAATAGTGACCTGGAAGCTTTGAATTTCTAAATCCTAAATATTTTCAGTATTCCAGAAACCTAAATATATTCTCTACTATAATCAGGTAGGAGCATAATCTTAATGAAAGTGACTGTCAACAATAAACCTCCTTGAAAAAATTAACAATGGTTCCCTCTCAACCTTGTTTTCAATAATGATAATAATGTTCAAATCAATTTTTGAAATTACTTACTGACCCGATTGAAAAACAAAAATTATCCTTTAAACATAATTTATTGTCTTAGATAGTAAAATTGACTCTTAGTATCAAAAATAGGTCATTTTATTCAGGAATTGGAAAGATATTTAGAAAGAAGAAATAATTCAATATGATGAAGAAATAATTTATTTTACCATTGATTTCATCACCAGTTTCGTTTAAGAAATATGTTCCTAGACTACAAATTAGATTATAAGATAATTTTTTCTTCCTGTTATTTAATGATTTCAAAAATCTATTCTCCAAAATGGACCATCCAAGTGCTTAATGAAGAGCGAATTTGCGCTCTCGCTATTTGCCAAACACTCTCAATTCAGCTACCATACCTATACCAGTCACTCCCTTTAAACACTCTCAATTCAGCTACCATACCTATACTATAGTCACTCCCTTTAAACACTCTCAATTCAGCTGCCATACCTATACTAGTCACTCCCTTAAAAGCAACAATATTTTTATGTTTTTTTCAGTTTTGGAATTCTGACAACTTTGGTTACAGATTTGGAAAAAGTCCTTTTATTGTTAACAATTGTTCAGTAAATAATTGTTTCATAACTAACAATAGGTAGAATTTTTCTCAAATAAACTGTATTTTCTTCTAGAAAAGTTGATGAACACCCAATTTAAGTTAACTGCAANGCTACCATACCTATACTAGTCACTCCCTTTAAACACTCTCAATTCAGCTGCCATACCTATACTAGTCACTCCCTTTAAACACTCTCAATTCAGCTGCCATACCTATCCTAGTCACTCCCTTAAAAGCAACAATATTTTTATGTTTTTTTCAGTTTTGGAATTCTGACAACTTTGGTTACGGATTTGGAAAAAGTCCTTTTATTGTTAACAATAGTTCAGTAAACAATTGTTTCATAACTAACAATAGGTAGAATTTTTCTCAAATAAACTGTATTTTCTTCTAGAAAAGTTGATGAACACCCAATTTAAGTTAACTGCAACAACTTTTATTTGTTTATCTGTTAAAGGGATCGTGAGTATTAAGTGACCCTTCAATTAAGTAATCAATATGGTGGAAGATATTTGTCTTTGTTTATAAGGGTTTAATTCTGATTATTCATTAAGTGTATCGTTGTGAATCGGGTATTGCCATATTCATGCATGGAGGGTTACTTTAAATTAAGCTAACAGTCCCTTCTGAAAGGTTGTTACTGCCAGCTATCGAAGATTTTGATATGATAATATTTCACACTGGTGGTGTAGAGGTAAAGTAGGATTTTAGGAAATTTAACAAATATCCACCATAAAATCACCAGAAATCAGCGAAAATAGGATTATTTCAATATTAAATTACTGCAAAGAATTTTGACACTTTATTTGAAATGTGCCTGGTAAAGGGTCTCATCAAAATTTTTAAAGAGTCTGGTACAAAGTAATTAGTTGTTTTGTAAAAAGAAAAGCTACAAATTTAAAGCAAAGAAAAAAGTGCAAAAAAGAATTCTATCCCAAAAAACTGCTGCAATCAGTTTTGGACCTGGCTAAATTTTTTGTCTGTCTGAAAGTGGCTTTATGTTGATCCGATGTAGAGCAAAATTATGTTTTTAACAATGGAGGATATAATATAAGCAAATAAAATTCTAAAATCTTAATTTGTTTGGATTTATATATATATAAATATAGATTCATAGCACTAATACATTTTGTACAACATTTAAAAAGATTTTAAATCTATGGTATCTTATAAATATCTGTCTTATGACAAGATGTAAATCAAAAACTATTCTTTTTTAATCTAAAAGAAATGGTAGCATTAGTTTAAGTTTTTCTTGTTCCTACTGATGGGACATTTATGGATTCTGCCAAAGATTTTGCAATTTTGGGATGCTGCAGCCACAGTAGTTACTATACATTAATATCAACTTGTATTTTTAATTTTTTTATGTTGGCTTTAATTCTATTGCCGGATTTTAAAAATATTTATTTTGGGAATATTTATTTTAGAAATATTTATTTTAGCAATATTTATTTTGGAAATATCTATATTGGCAATATTTATTTTGGAAATATTTATTTTGGAAATATTTATTTTGGAAATATTTATTTCCAGAAAGAGTTTAAAGATTAAAGAACACTTGTAATGTGGTGAATTCAGAAGGTTCAAATATCGTGATAATAATAATACAAAAAAACAGGATTTATTGGTCAGAGAAACATAATTAATAATTTTTTCGATAATATATTTNTGATATTGGAAATATTTTTTTAGGATATATTTTTTTTGGAAAGTAACCAACATTATTATTAAGGTTCTAAAAAAAAGAAATCCAAAACAGTTTTACGTATTCTTCAGTCTTGAGTGCCCCATTCATGCGGCAATTAACGGATATGAAGAAAGGTAAATTTAGCTTAATTCAATAATAAGAAGGCTTGGAAGGGTGAATGGGTGGAATCAAAGTTTTTGATATCTTTAAAATTTTCTTTAAAATTGTTTTCAAAAACTAATAACCCTGGTGGAGCCAGTAATCTGCAAACATTAAAAAAATGTGTTTATGGATTTGAGCAAACATATGCCTTGACCCCTATTTTCCCTCATTCTGTATGGTTCCAGAATACAACTTTAAAAAAACGCATTTAAGAAAAATATCAAATTTTAGTTTTTCCAGAATTTAGTAAAGACCTAAATTACAACAAATTTCGTACACGCTGAATTTTGCCCTGAATATTATGTCATGTCATCGTTGATCAAGAGAAATATTCAAAATCTTTGTTTCCCTTTTTTCTGTGTTTTTAATCCCTATATCGCTGCAACCCAATGTTGTAGACCTTTGATATTTCAAACTATGAATTCTGCTAAATCAAATAATCTAAGTTTGAAATCTAAAAGGTTTACACTATCAGATTGCAAAGATATAGGGATTGAAATATTTGAGACTGTGGCAAAAACTCAGTTTTTTTGTTGTCAACTGGAGTCAAATGGCCATTTTTTAAAACAAATTTTTGTTTAGGTATAGGTCATTTTTTAATTTAACAATGACTTACTGACAAGATTCTGATATTTTTTCCCGTATGGGGAAATGAAATCTGGTGGAAAAAGATCTGTTAAGAAAGCAACTAGTTCAAGAAGTAAAGATGACAGAAAGCTAGTTGCATGGGTTGTATCTCATTGTAAGACACAATCTCAACGAGAAAAATATGTTGATGTAAAAAAAACAAGTTAAAATAATGATAAATAAAATCTGTTCAATCTTTTCTCATTCTTAAGATTTTAAAGTTTTTCAAACCATCTTTTTATAGTAATCAAAATTAATGATTTGTTCAATGGAAATGAATTCATTCCAAACAAAGGAATGATAAGTTGCCATTTTTTGCCACCAGGTGGTGGAAAAAAGGCGCCATGGTGACTGGTGGCGGGTCTAGAAGAAGTAGGGTCTAGAGAGTGCATATTTGCCATTTACCCTGCCTTTCAACATCCAAATCCTGCGTTGTGGTTTTTGGCATTTACATTATTATAAAACCATCTCACAGACAATATGTATCAAATTATTTAGATGAAATTAGAACTGCTGAATTTGTTTTTCTAAATGTTACAAATTCTCAAACCTGTGAAAAACTATTGCAGTTTTACTATTAGGTCGGATTTATTTTTAACATTTAAAGTTTTATTAATTGTATTTTTAAAGGATCTGATTCGGTGATGATCTGGGAAAGTGGAAAAGATAGTATAAATTAAAAAAGTAGATTTATATATTTTGAGAATTTAGATTTCAAATTATGTGGTCGAAAAGTTAGGAAACCTAAAATCAGGATATTTTTGGATGCATTTTTCTCGTTTTAGGGGATTTTCAATCATACGCATTTGAAAATAAAAAAAAACTATAATCAGTGTGAGCTCAATAGCTCAAAATAGGGATACATTCTCAGTTCTCATACAAACCCTGAGCTAAACTTAGATGGGATAGTTCCATTGGACCGGGAGCTAAGCTCAGATTCCAAGATGTCCGGCCTAAAAACAGGACAATGTATTAGCTTTTTGTATATAGCTATAGGTCGGACAGAAAGTGGGGCGGATGATAAGTTGCCAACATGGAGAAATATTTGTCGTTAGAAAACATGCTTTGAAAGCATCTTTGAATGCGTTGAAAACTGAAGNGAAGTTCTCGCAAATTTTAGGAAATACATTTGAATTATTGCTTTTTAAATGGATATAGTTTGTTTCTCATTAATGATCATTTCAAAATAACAACCAAGAATACTAAGATTCTATTTTTGATTGGTTTTTAGCATAGTAAATAATTTCGTACCATTTTATTTTCTGAAAATTATAAAAAAAAATTGTAAAAACACTGTTAAAAATATTTGTTTTTGGAATAAAAAAGTCTGTTTCCACATCACAATAGCTGTGTCTTTTGTTCAATGGATTATGTAAAGTCATGTCTTAATTCTAAAAGTCTTAGTCCTCTGATTCTCACTGAAGCTATCATTCAAATGTTATATTTAGCTCAGAATCTGGTACCAGTTGTCTTAGGTAATTGGGTGGAAAATTTTCTAATATATTCAACATTTAATGTATAAATAATAAATATGCAAAAACGCTGATTTTCAATGCATCGTAATTTTTTCCAGGATCTGCAAACTATACTGATTTGGCACCACCACATTCCTTCATAAATGTTCAGGTATAACAATAAATATTTCAGATTTTAACCCATTTTTTGTAATATAACTGAATTTTGCAACAAAAAACAATGTAATTTCAAAAATAATAAATATTTCAGATTTTAACCCATTTTTGATATAATATAACTGAAATTTGCAACAAAAAACAAAGTAATTTCAAAAATAATAAATATTTCAGATTTTAACCCATTTTTTGTAATATAACTGAATTTTGCAACAAAAAACAATGTAATTTCAAAAATAATAAATATTTCAGATTTTAACCCATTTTTTGTAATATAACTGAAATTTGCAACAAAAAAACAATGCATAATTTCAAAAATAATTAATTTTCATATTTAATATATTTTCTCCAAAATAACTTATTTTTGCAATAAAAATGGAATATCAAAAATAATAAATATTTCAGATTTTAACCCATTTTTTGTAATATAACTGAATTTTGCAACAAAAAACGATGTAATTTCAAAAATAATAAATATTTCAGATTTTAACCCATTTTCAGCAAAATAACTTATTTTTGCAATAAAAATGGAATTTCAAAAAAATTAAGAAATCAAGTCCACTAAATATTGTATAACAGTTAAATTGGAATTAGAATAATTGAACAGAAATATGAAATTCTAATTTTTTCAGGATTTTAAATCCCCTGAACATCTGTCCAAGTACCTTCTCAAACTTGATAAAAACCAAAAGGTAATGCTTTTCAAGCTACAGGGTGTCCCACCAAACCTGACATTAGCAAGACGACTTTTATTGTGACATTCAGTTGTCAACCTACTTTAACATGCATGATTCTTGCATGATTCACAACCTTCTCCTAATCCTGGTGTTTCCAAAATGTGGTCTGCCTTTTTTGTACTTTCAATATTTCCGGAGATATTAAGAATTTCGTTCAGATTTCAATTTTGTTAAAGAAAAAAAAAATTGTCGAAATTTGAACGAAATTTTTATATCTCGGGTAATATTGAAAACATAATAAAGGCAGACTACACCAGGAATGGAGAATTTTTAATTTCTCTAGAATTTTACTTCTAAAATTAGGTTGACCAAAAAATCAAGAAAATTATATTAAAAATCAAAGACAATGTTCAAGTCATTTTGCTACTGTCATGTTTCTTGGAATATTTCATTCATTTTTCAAGACCCTTCAGGTTTTTAAACTTTAAAAGGATCCACAACATTTTGAAAAGCTCTACAAATTTCAAAACTGTTTATTTTAAACAAGTAGTTTTTTTTACGTTCTTTGCTAAATTTTAAAACTGAGGAAGATATAAAACGAACAAAAGTAAATGTCCAACACTATTTTATTCATTATAAAATCACTTTTAACTTTTAATTTATAAATTATTCCAGTTTTATAACATTTAAATGATTCAAAAAAAATTCGAAACAATGTTAGATTTCTCATATTTATTTCTGGAGCTTTTGTAAACGCAAATAACTTGAATGTAAAAAATATAATTAAATATCTAAATATCTAGAGTAGAGCTGGGCATGTTCCGACTTTTTTGAAATCGTTCCGTTCCGTTCTAGAACGAGGGCCTTCAGATAAATCGTTCCTTTCTCGT